AAAAAAGTTGTATTAGGGAGAAAAAGCTTTCCAAACTTCAAAGCAGATTTCCCTGGTATTACATTCTCCTGGTATTACATTCTATTCTTACCAAAAATCAGAGTTTAGAGTAACAGGTTTTAAATGGCACCAAAACATTTAAGTATAATTTATCTCTAACAAGTAATCATAAAAGAGTGCCCAAACAATTTGACATCAGTATTTCACACTTTGTGTGAAATTTTGTGTACCAATTTTGTATATTAGATTTCCAGTTTGGGATTTGGGTTTAGGGTTCTTTATCTTCCTAAATTTTTGCATTTCTGTTCCGTAAAAGATCACTGCAGGTGAACTCTGCAAAGGACAGGTATATTGCATACCTTGGGAAGCATCTCACATTGTAACATGTCATCCTTCTAGAACTGTTTTTATCCCAATGTGAAATTAATTCAGAGTTACAAAATAGTTAGTTCTAAGTGTAATCATCTATCTTGCATATGCTACCATTTATGCCACCAATATTTAATATAGGAACAGCCTAGTGTCAGTTTGCCATTCTTACTGAAACGTCTAATAGTCTGAAATAGCAGTATTGTCCCAAGTAATGTTAGATGAAATTAAAACCAACCCATAACTATATTATGTATGTTTTGAACATTTTCCTGTACTTTAACATTTAATGACCATTTCTTATGCCCAACTGAGTAATCTTCTTAGTAGTCATAAAAACAAAGAGGAAAGGGAATCTTCTTTTAGGAGAAGCTATATTTTATAAATTAGAAAAATAATAAAAAAACATAATTCATTTGTAGGGAATATTGTGCCTAGAGTTTTAAAAAAATTGTTAAGCAGGACACAATTCAAGAAAATGGTACTTTGTATCATTTACAGAATGTAATTCTTTGCGAGGTGCTAGGGATACGCTACTGAATAAAATAGCCACTGCCTTTGTAGTGCTTACTGTCTGTCCACCAGGAAAGACAGAATATCAGACAGTAATTACATAAGATATAAATTGTGATGTGCCATCAAGAAAAAGTGAAATGTTCAGAGAGAGAGGAGACATAATACATAAAATTGATTTTTAATTTGGGGAACTAGGAAGTCTTCTCTGAGGACATGACATTACAGCTTTTGCAGTAACATGGTGATCCAGTGGATGATGGTAATGATCAAGGTATTGAAAAGCATATGAAGTCCAGGTGAAGTTTGGCAGGACACAGTGATGGTTTAAAAGTGAGAAGTGAGGAAAAAGAAAGGGTTTCTAACAGAAAGGCTAGATGCATGGAGCTTCGCTGGGGGAAAGAGTGAGCCCAGGAGCAAGGTTTGGGGACATACCAGGTTTCCAATGCAAGTAGACAGTTGTATGTATGAAACTAAAAATAAAAATTTTAGAGTTGTTTACAAAAATGGTATTTTAAGTCTTGAGGACAAATGAGATTACTTGAGGAGAATATATAGTATGAGATAAAGTCCTGAGGGACTCCAACATTTAGGAGTTGGTCAGCACAGGAGGGCAAAGGGGACTGAGGAGTTGGCAGTGAGACTGCTGGCAACCAAGACGGGGTAATGTCAAGATTGCCCAAGGTAGTCTTTGAGGTGGAGGCAGTCAACTGAAAGGTTAGATGAGGACTGAAAGTTTCACTGGATCTAGCAACATGAATGTCACCCAGTGGCCTTAGCAAAACCACTTTTTTTTTTAAGGGACTTGGCTTAGATAATTGTGGCCTTGTTTTTTTTATAGCCTCCAGGAATGTCCAACAGAACATTTGATAGTTCTGTTAGATGCAGGATTTGGGATGATACTTCATTGTGTGTGATGCCCCATGCATTGCAGGATGTCAAATACAGTAGTACAAACCAGTCACTGAAACAAGAAAAATGCAAACATTAATTACACTCATTGAAAACCATTGCTGCTAAGACATCAGATAACTGGAACCCCCAAATCCAAGCCAAGCCACAGTTTTAGCAGAACACCTGGGAAAGGAAAGCTATAAAGACTTCCTGGAAGGGGTAACAAGTTTAATCAAGACAGCAGCCTCACTTACATGTTTATTAGAATTTTGGGGGAGTATTCTACAAGTGAAATCCTAAAGTGAGCACTTTTCAGAGTTCCACTGTTTCTGATAAGAAAGTAAATTTCCTAAATAAAAATTAACATAGTTCAAAAATAAGAATGCTGGGGTACTTTAAATTCAACATATCCATAAAATAAGGGTATCTAAACCTGTAATTCATACAATAATACTGCATCTAGTGGTGTTGACATTGATGCTAATGATAATAGCTCTCATTTATTGAGCTGGTGTGTGTCTGTCTTAGTTGAGATTCCTTAGAAGCTGCCTGAGGCTGAGATTCAAGTGCACAGGAATTTGAAAGTGTGCTCTTTAGGGTAAACCTGTAAGGAGGTGAAAGGAAGCAAGATAGGAAAGCAATAGTCAACTAAGAATGAGAGCTCAGATAAATTCTTGGCCTTATCCACAGGGTGCTCTGGAAGGATCACATTGTAGAGTTCCCCACTGTCCCACTTTGAGGCATGAGGTGGGACTACTGTAACCCTATATACCAGTTAGGTATTAGTTGTTACCACCAAGCCAATGTGAGAGGTCTTTGGGGGACAGGGAGGTAGCATGAATTGCTCAGTGTCTCTGGGCACAGCAACTCCTACACTTATAGCAGCTGGAGAATGGATGCATGAATTAAGGATAAAGGGAATCTGGATAGGGTACTAACAGTCTTTGTTACAATGCCAGACACATACCATATTATTTTCCTTTTATTTTGAAACAATCTCATATTTACAGAAAACTTGCAAATATAGTACAAAGGACTTTCCCTCTCCCCCCCAACCATTTGATAAATAAGTAACTGATCTAATTCTCCAACCATTTGATAAATAAGTAACTGATCTAATTCTAATTTTAGAAATGATTTAAAGAATTTTATTTTTTAAGTGAGACATAATTAACAAGCTTTGTTGTACAACATAACTATTTTATGTATGTATGTATTGCAAAATGATTACCACAGTAAGTTTAGTTAACATCCATTACCATACAGATTCTTCCCGTGTTGAGAACTTTTAATATCTACTCTTCGAGCAACTTTCAAATATACAGTAAGGTATTGTTAACTGTAGTCACTGTACTGTGCATTATATTCCCATAATTACTTATTTATAACTGTAAGTTTGTGCCTTTTGACCATCTTCACCCATTTTGCCTACTCCCACAAAAAGCACTTTTGATGGAATAATGCAGACACAAGCCATGTTGGAGTAGGCCGAAAACTGAATGGGAAGTGTGGAAGTGTAGCAACTCCTTGAAGAACTCCAATCTGAAAACAGAAATGGATAGGATGAAAGGTGGGAAGAGGAGTGAAATCATAGGATTATTAACATAAGACAGAGTTCATGTTTTGAGTGTCAGTGGATGAAGGTTCCAGTGGAGAAGCTGAAGTAGGAGAGGGGATAAGAATAACCATAAGTCTCAGAGCAGGGGGGAAGGAATGGGATGCTTGAAAATCAACTCAGTAGGAAGTTGGGGAGGGGATTAAAAAACTGTCATTTCAGAGAAATGGAACTTAGAAAGATGTTATATAAGCAGAGGGCAACAGTAGTATATGACTCTTTTTAATGATAACTAGGAAAAACCTTGCTGGGACTAACTCTGCACAGAATCCACTGCATAAGACAAGACTAATTCAGAGAGACTTCAATCAAAAGGTAGAAATAAATGAGTCACTGGGTCTTTACTGTAGACTCATACAGAGCCCTGGTCATTTATGGTATCAGCACCACCAAACTGTGAACACTGGATGCATCTCACTGCAAAATGCAAGTCTTGGTAATTTCTACCTGCAGGAGAGATTCTTATCTGTGGAAGACTGAATAAGAACAAAAGTTCTTTGGGCTCCTCTCATCAAGAGGTGGGGTCCATTACCCCTTAACTCTGGGCTGTCTTTGTGATGCTTTGGCCAATAGAATATGACTGATTGCTACTTCTCAGGCTGGGCCTAAAGGGGCCTCAGCAGTCAGCCAACACCAGCTGCCAGGAGTGTGGATTCCACCATCCTGGACCTCCCAGCTCAGCCAGCCCTTGCTGAATGATGCCACGGGAGTAAGCCCTCTGAAGTTAGCAGAGGAATCACCCAACTTGCCTATATAAATGTTAAAAATAATAAATCGTTTTAGGCTACTAATGATTTGAGGCAGTTTGTTACGCAGCAATAGTTAACCGAAACTTTGTCCTACTGGGGTAATTCCCATCTGGCTGAGCTACAAGGATTTTCCTACCATCAGCACTAAGGGGCACGCAGGTGCTAACGTTCATTACCCTCAGTGTGTTTGTTTTCTGACCCATACTCCTTCCTACCTGCTATCATCTCTGCATTGAGAATAGCAGCGTTTATTCCTTTAAATGCAATTTGTTTCTTAAAACTGATCTTCGTTTCCACACCTTCCAAGTGCAACTATGTGCCCTTTGGCCTACGAGATGTGTCAAGAGCCTGTGCAATGCCCGCAAGTGCCATAGAGACTATCTTTTGGAAGTTTGGCCCGGTGTGCTCCTCAGCTCTGGGAGTGCGGCGGACTCCGCCTAGGCTAGCGGCACGCAGCGCCCCTCCTGCCTGACAACGCCGCTAACGGCCTCCTCCCCGGTAGCCGTTAGGCATGCGCTCTCCCGCGTGTAGCTTCCCTTACAGGGCTTTCTGCATTAGGTACTATTATTAGAAGGTGGGCGGGGTCCCAGTCCTGGTCTGGTTGGGCGCTGGCTGGGCCGCTAGAAAAGACCCTCAGGAACCCGTGGGATGCCAGCACCCGCAGAGAGCGAGGCCCGGCGGCTCCGGCGCGGCCCCGCCCCTCCCCTGCCCGGCGCGGCCCCGGAGCTCCCGGCGCAGGCCCGCCCCCTTCTCCCGGCGCGTCCTCCCCACCCCCGCCGCTGCCGCAACCTCCCAGGCTCGGCGTTGCACACGTCCTTCTCCCGCACGAGCCCGCGCGCGGCCAGAAGCAGCAGGTGGGTAATGCCGGAAGCAGAGCTCGGGTTTCGCGGGCTGGAGCAGGGGTGGCTATGGGCGCTGCGCGGTGCGCCCCGTGCCCCCATCGCGGACGACGGGCGGGGACCCGGGGTCCCTTGGCGGGCCTGGCGTGCGCGCCGCCGCGGCTGGTATTGAAGGCGTTGCAGTTCGCCCTCAGCGCTCGGGCGTTCGGCGGTGAGGAGGGAACCTACCTCCACAGTCCGGAACGGTTTGTCCCCGACACGGGGGAGTAAAGCGCTGACACGCTTTGGATGCCGGCTGCGTGCGCGCTCACAGAAAGCTAAAGGCGAGTGAGACGTGCATGGGGCCTTTCTGAGCCTCTGGGTCCCTTACGTGCTGTCAGAGGGGGGATAAAATCACGTGGGAAGGTTTTGTTTGAAGGAGCTGGGCCTGCCGAGGATAGATGGGACCATTACGCTTTGCGTTATGTTCGGTGATGAAGAAGTATGTTTGGCATTACAAACTGTAGGTGTCGAAGTGTACCCCTAGACTATGGAAGTAAGATTGTCCAATAATGAAAAACTATAAGGTACTAATTTGAAGTATGAGAGTAGAGATATACAACGTTAAAGAAACAAAATTTTACCAGGCCTTCAAGACTTGACTATATCCTGACACCTAAGAAAGACTGTTTTTTCAGGTATCCTTATAATATTCTACTCAGTGTGTGAATCTTTCTCATCCTTGGGGGCTCAATTAAAATTACATCCTCACAGAGGCTTACTTGTTTATGTGTTCAGGTGCCTAGTACAGTTTCTGGCACATAGCAAAGACAGCCTAATTCCCTCAGCCCTCTCAATATTTGCTCAAACGTCACTTTTTTAATGAAGCCTAGCCTGGCAACCCTATTTAAATTTGCAGCCTGGTTTTCTCACATACACAATTTCAATCCTCCCTTTCCCAGCTCTACTTTTTCTTTTTCCTGTGATCCTTGTTACCGTTACTTATTTGGTTCACTGATGAATCCCAAGTGCCAAGAATAATGCCTCTCAAATAGATGCAGGATTTGTTGATTTAATACCTTTGCTGTGTTTCATTCACACTATATATAAAATGCTGGATGGATACATTTTGAACAGTGTTAATATGTAAATTGGGTCAGTTCTGGAATCCTAACAAGATTGTGTTTTTTACCAATTCAGTATCTTGCACTGTTGTTAATTTATCAAAGTAAATGCCACTTTGTTAAGTCTTGGTTAGGAATCTTTGTACACTTTCCTGTTAAGCTCCTGGAGGGAATACATGTCACATGACAGGAACAGTATGAGAAGCATAGAGATGGGAAGGTAGAAACACTGTAACAGTTAACATTATAGAGCATTTCATACTTGCCATGCACCAGTGCTTTATGCTCCTTAACCCATTTAATCCGATTGACCATTCTGTGAGGTGGGAACATTTTATAAATGAGGCAATTGAAGCAGCTAGAGGTTAAACTACTTGCCCAAGGTTATTCAGTTAGTAAGTGGTAGAGCCAGGATTAAAACTTAAGCTCTGTAAGTGACTATAGTTAATAATATTGTATTGTATATTTGAAAGTTGCTGAGAAAGTAGATCTTGAAAGTTCTTATCACAAGGGGAAAAAGATTGTAACTATGTGAGGTAATGGATGTTAGCCAAGCTTATTGTGATAATCATTTTGCAATATGTGTATCAACTCATTATGATGTACATCTTAAACTAATACAATATATGTCAATTATATCTCAATAAAACTGGTGGGGGGTAGGAGGAACAACATTAAGCTTTTAACCACTTTGTTGTCCTGCATATGCAGACAAGAGTCAAAGCCTTAACTTTAGAGAAGAATGTGTCACAAGGTCTTTGAAAATCTCCAGATCCACAGACACCATTCAGCATATTAGCATCCACTGCACCTACCCTTACTGAGTCTCCCCTTGGATCACAATGTAAGAGGATCCTGTCTGCTGTCCAGGCTGCCTCCTTCCCTGTCTGAGCTCTGGATCCCAACACCATCACTAGGTCAGGGATCTCCCTTCACCAGTGTTGCCTGCTCTTTCCTGACTCCTACCAGGATCTAAGCATGCTCAGTTTGCTTCCATTTTAAATGCTCTCTTAATTCCACATCTCCTTCTAATTACTGCCCTTAGCTTTTCCACTTTGCAGCTGGAATATACTCACTGTCTCCACTCAGCACATTTCATTCTTGCCAGCATCACTAGTACTAATAATCTTGATCCTGTTAATTCTAATAAATCCCTTTCATCCTTATCTTATTTATCTTCAACATTTGGCATTAATCATCTTGTCTCCTTGAAGCTTCTGTAATACCATATTTAAAATCTTCTTCCTTCTGTGCTAAGCTTTTGGGAGATCTCCTACCTTCCTCTGCATATCCCGTAAATGTTGCTTTTCAGGGTTCTAAGGCTCTTATGTCTCCTTACTGAATCCCTTCTGGATAATCTAGTGCCCTTGCATGGCCACCATTAATCTGTTTAGCTCTGTGCCATTAGCTGCTGGATAACCATAGACTCTGTTAAAGTTCAACATGGTCAAAATGAACCCATATCTTGACCACATGCCTTGTCTTCCTGTGAAATCTGTCCTAGGAAATGTCACCTCTTTCTCTCCATTTTCCAGGTCAGAAATCAGGGTGTAATATTAATAAAAGAGCTAACATTCTGTGCTTTCTGTGTGCCAGGAACTCTTAAAAGCACTTTACATGTACTAGCTTATTTAATCCTGATACAAGTTCTGTTACTACCCAGATACTACAGAAAAGGTATCTGAGACACAGAAATGTCAACTCAGCTTCTAAAGAGCTGGAATTTGAATGCTGGCACTTTGGCTTGAGCTTATAATCAATATGCCATAAAGGATATGACCGTTGACTTCTCTCTCTCACCTTCATTCAACCAATTACCAGGTACTGTAGATTCTCAGCGCTTTAATCTCTAGGTGATGTCTCTAATATATAAATCTGATCTTCCCCTTTCCTTAAAACTCTTCAGCATCTCCTCCATGTTCTTCAGGACAAAGTTCAAGCATTCAACACAGATTTTAAATCTCTTCATAATCTGACCTCTTCTTCTGCCTCCTTATTGTAACTCCCCAGTGTAGCCATAGATTTCAGGGGAGCTGAAAGACTGGATAGAGGTTAATTCTGCCCCTGAGGAGGGATTTCCCAAAATATGCCACACTATTAGGTGACTCTTTATCTTTGTATATGCCTGGAATATGCTGCTATACAACATCAATTTTGAGACTCAGTTCAAGTATCCTACCTCTCCTGGGCTTTCTTTTAAGTCTCTCCTGACTTTTCTAGATAAATTGGTTCAACTTTTCTGTAGCACAGTTTATCAAAATGTATCAAGCATGATGAAAATATGAAGACTCTTTAACCTAGGAATTTTGTTTCTAGAACATTACTCAACTATAAAAGAATCTAGTCTCATGATAGATTTTAATAACCCATTCTACCGCAACTCTTTAACCTGAAGGAAAATTATGGCTATCTTCAGAAATAATTTCTTTACAACCATAACTAGTCATACTACTTCATCATTATACGTAGTATTTTCAGGCTTCTGCCACCTAATTCTTCCTCAGCACTGCTGACAAAAATGGTATGTAAAGTGTGCAGATGTAAAATTGTTCATGGCCTTTCTGTATAACCCTGCTACTCTGACAGCCTCTACCCCTGACCTCAGGAGGTTCATCCTAATTTAATATCTTAATACCATTATATTGCCAGTAAATCATATATCTCAAAGTCAGATAAGAATTATTTCAAAAGTATTATAAGGACCTAATTACTAAAGCTTTCTACTGAGGTATTTATGAATATGTTGTTCATAACACAGAAAAACTAGGAACAACCTAAAATTGCAAGCTAAGAGACTGAGTAAAATGTGGTATATCTGATAATGGCCTCTTACACAACATTAAAGATGATAAAAAAATAGATTTAACATTGAATAAAATAACAGAACAGTTCCATTTTGGTTGGGGGATGTTTACACATGCACAGAAAAAAATGGCCATATACCAAAACGTTAACTGTGATTTCCTCTAGGTTGTGGTATTATGGATCCTTTTATTTTGCTCTTTTTGCTTATCTGTATTTGCTCATTTTTCTCAATGAGGTTGTACTACCTGTGAATTTTAAATCACTGTTTTGGCTTTGAGCTATATTACATAATGTACTTGTAGATTTATTGTTTGAAAAATCTTTGCCCTTTTTCCGTTTCAACTGAAATTATTTAAGGTTTGTCTTAGTTTGTTTTCTCTGAGCACTCTTACTGTAGAATTCTTAAGACTAATTATAAAGCCAAAAGGCCAGAAAAGCAACTGGACTGGATACTAAAGAATTAAGATAACTAAACATTTATAGCTAGAAAACATAGTTTTCCCTTTCTTAATCAATTAACTTGTTTGTCTTCCACTTTTAAAAGCATGCTGATACCAGTTTCAATGAAGAATTGCTTCCAGTTACTTTGTAACCTCAAAGTCCCAGCAGCTGGTTTTAAAAACACAGTAAAAAGTGGGCTCATTTTACAGTCAGTTTCCAATGATGTTTACCATAATTTGGCTGTAGAAGACTGGATCCATGACCATATGAATCTAGAAGGCAAGCCAGTTCTTTTCATTTGGAGAAATTCTCCCTCTGTTGTCATTGGTAGGCATCAGAATCCTTGGCAGGAATGTAATCTGACTCTGATGAGAGAAGAAGGTATAAAACTGGCTCGAAGAAGAAGTGGAGGAGGAACAGTCTACCATGATATGGGAAATATCAATTTGACTTTTTTTACAACCAAAAAAAAGTATGACAGGATGGAAAATCTAAAATTAGTTGTGAGAGCTCTGCGTGCTGTCCAACCCCGGCTGGATGTGCAGGCTACCAAAAGATTTGACCTCGTACTTGATGGACAGTTTAAGATCTCAGGAACAGCTTCTAAGATTGGCCGGACTACTGCTTATCACCATTGCACTTTATTGTGTAGTACTGATGGGACCTTCTTGTCATCTTTGCTGAAGAGCCCTTACCAAGGGATCAGTAGCAATGCCACTGCCAGCATACCTTCCTTAGTAAAAAATCTCCTGGAAAAAGATCCCAGTCTGACCTGTGAAGTACTGATGAATGCTATTGCTGGAGAGTATGCTGCTCATCATCAAATTGATAATCACATTAACCTAATAAACCCAACAGATGAGACACTGTTTCCTGGAATAAATAGCAAAGCCAAAGAGCTGCAAACCTGGGAGTGGATATATGGCAAAACTCCAAAGTTTAGTATAAATACTTCCTTTAATGTGTTATATGAACAGTCACACTTAGAAATTAAAGTATGTGTAGACATAAAGAATGGAAGAATTGAAATCTGTAATATTGAAGCACCTGATCATTGGTTGCCACTGGAAATATGTGACAAATTAAATTCAAGTTTTATTGGCAGTAAGTTTTGCCCAGTTGAAACGACTATGCTAACAAGTATATTACATAGAACATGTCCAGAAGACAATGAACTACACAGTAAATGGAATATTCTTTGTGAAAAGATTAAGGGAATAATGTGATTCCAAGTAAATTTCTTAATATTGACAGCTTCAATGAGAAAAATAAAAATTTTAATGTGCATTGTATGTCTCTTAAAATAAAGAGGCTTAGTCTCTTTCAGTAACTTCCTCCGCATTAGAAATTGTCTATCACCTATCCTTGTCCATATTTCCTACTGACCTTCAGGAAACTCTATCTTTCATCATTGATTTTAATACCTGGCTTACATTTGTATCTCAGCTCCCTCCTCTGTTACCATCTTGGGGATGTATACCACATTGGACATTCTGGTTTCAGAGTGAGTTCTTTTTCTAAGTTCTAGGGAATATAACCCAGGCTTCTTGCCTGCTGATACCTTAAAATCTAAAAATCTCACATATTTTTTTATACTTCCATCCTCTTTTACTAAATCAAGCCAATTGTACTTTTCTAAAACCTCTTTCCTGCCTAGGGGGATTGCTTCATCTCCCTACCGTAGCCTGAATTGCTTCAAGTTTACTGTCCTTTCATGCCAGCATTTTTATTTGCTTCTCTCTCTCTTAACATTATCATAGCCATCTTTTTTTTTTCCCCAGCAATTAATTTTTCACTCCCATACCCAGATGGTAGGCAGTGCTGGAAGAAAATCACATAAACATGCAGAGTAACCCAATTTCTTATTTACAATTTTCAACTTAGAGTAACTTTCTATTGGTGTCAGATTCAACTCTGTTGATTCCCTCTTTCTTTAGAGAGGCCGTATTCCTAAATATTTCTACTCTTCTTAATCTCAGAATTCCACTACTTGTAATCTTGTCACAAACTTGATTCATAATTGAGAGCAGAGGCCTTCAGCAGTGAGCTCCTTTAGCCCCCAGGTTTTAGCCCTTTAATTTACTCTGGATTTTTGTCCTGTTCAGACTGTTGTGGCCTTGTATTATCAAATATTATCTTCCTTATCTTACATATTTTTTTCTGTCTCGACTTTCACTGGATCCTTACCCATAGTGAACGAACATGCTTATGTTTCCCTACCCCCAAAACTCTCCTGCTCAGTTTTGTTCTATTTCTCTCCATTTCTTCATTGCCAGACTTTTTTGAAGAGTCATCATTGCCAACCATTTCCTCTCTCTATGGTTCATTTCTTTTATTTCTACTGTATTTACTCTATGTTTATTGAGTACCTACCATTTCTCAGGTATTTGCTAGTTGTTGGACGTTCATGGTGAGTGAAAGAGACAAGCTCACTGACCTCAGGAATAGACGGTTAGTGTAGTGGTTTTCAAACTCTAAAAACTAGAGTAAAAACTACGTTTTATCTTGTGTACAGCACAGACGTGTTACCTATACATAACAAGTTTCACAATACAATGCTATCCCTCACTATTTATCTGATACTTTATATTCAATTTTATTTCACCTTTTAAAAATTGATCTCATGACCCATTAATAGGTCAAGATCTAAGTTTAAAATACTCAAGCCTTGTCTTGCCAATGGGTTTCAGCTTCAGGCAAGTTCGCTATGGATTCAATGTGACCAAAGAAATTGACAGCAAAACGTTCTTTGGGGTGAAAGGATTTATTACCTGGCTTGTTCTCCCGGCAGTATGTCAAGCACTGGTGTCTCTGCCTCCGCCCAGAGCACTGGGCTGAGCTCTCTGTATAGTGCAATAATAGCTTGTTGCATAAAGGTGTGGAAGTGGTAGCCTAGCAACAGGCTACTTACATCATCAGGAGGTTTAAGTTCAGTGAGGATCCTGGCCGTAGAACCTCAACTTCCGCACAAGCATATAGTAGGAATAGTAAACAAATCAGTAAATAATTATGAAACGAAAGTATGAAAAAAAGTCCAGTTAGCTGTAATGGACATTAATAGGGGCTACCTAGCTAGCACTCAGGAAGATGACATTGAAATTGAGACCTGAAGGAGAAAAAAGCCATGCAAAGTGGAGTGGGGAGGAGTGTTCCTGGTTTTATCAGTTTGCTACATAACTACTACAAAATTTGGTGGCTTAAAACAACAGTCATTTTATTTATTTATTTATTTATTTTCTTTTTTTTATTTTGGTATCATTGATCTGCCATTACATGAGCAATATTATAGTTACTACACTCCCCCCATCATCAAATCCCTACCACATACCCCATTACAGTCACTGTCCATCACTGTCGTAAGATGCTATAGAATCACTACTTGTCTTCTCTGTGTTGTACTGGCTTCCCCATGCCCCCTCCTACATTATGTGAGCTAATTGTAATGCCCCTTATTACCCTTATACCACCCCTCCCATCCTCCCCAGTCCCTTTCCCTTTGGTAACTGTTAGTCCATTCTTGGGTTCTGTGAGTCTGCTGCTGTTTTGTTCCTTCAGTTTTTTCTTTGTTCTTATACTCCACAGATGAGTGAAATCATTTGATACTTGTTTTTCTCTGCCTGGCTTATTTCACTGAAAATAATACCCTCTAGCTCCATCCATGTTGTTGCAAATTTGTTTTCTTATGGCTGAATAATATTCCATTGTGTATATGTACCACATCATCTTTATCCATTCATCCACTGATGGACATTTAGGTTGCTTCCATGTCTTGGCTATTGTAAAAAGTGTTGTGATAAACATAGGGGTGCATATGTCTTTTTTAAACTGGGCTCCTGCATTCTTAGGGTAAATTCCCTAAGAGTGGAATTCCTGGGTCAAATGGTATTTCTATTTTGAGTTTTTTGAGGAACCTCCATACTGCTTTCCACAATGGTTGAACTAATGTACATTCCCATCAGCAGTGTACATTCCCTTTCTCCACAACCTCTCCAACATTTGTTGTTGTTTGTCTTTTGGATGTTGGCCATCCTAACTGGTGTGCAGTGATGTCTCATTGTGGTCAACCCTTTATCGAATTTCATTTATGAATATATTCTCTCATACATCATCTATCGATGGTGTCCTTGGCTGTACAGAAGCTTTTCAGCTTGATATAGTCCCACTTGTTTATTTTTGCTTTTGTTTCCCTTGCCCAGGGAGATATGTTCATGAAGAAGTTGCTCATGTTTATGTCCAAGAGATTTCTGCCTGTTTTTTAATAAGAGGCTTATAGTTTCATGACTTACATTCAGGTCTTTGATCCGTTTTGAATTTACTTTTATGAATGGGGTTCTACAATGATCCAGTTTCATTCTCTTACATGTAGCTGTCCAGTTTTGCCAACACCAGTTGTTGAACAGGCTGTCATTTCCCCATTGTATATCCATGGCTCCTTTATTGAATATTAATTGACCATATATGCATGGGTTAATATCTGGACTGTCTATTCTGTTCCACTGGTCTGTGGGTCTGTTCTTGTGCCAGTACCAAATTGTCTTCATTACTGTGGCTTGAAGTTGGGAAGCGAGATCTCCCCTGCTATATTCTTCCTTCTCAGGATTGCTTTGGTTATTCGGGGTATTTTGTGGTTCAATATGAATTTTAGATTTATTTGTTCCAGTTTGTTGAACAATGCTGTTGGTATTTTGATAGGAATCGCATTGAATCTGTAGATTGCTTTAGGCAGGGTGGCTATTTTGACAATATTAATTCTTCCTAGCCAAGAGCATGGGGTGAATTTCCATTTGTTAGTGTCCTCTTTATTTCTCTTAAGAGTGTCTTGTAGTTTTCAGGGTATAGGTCTTTCACTTCCTTGGTTAGGTTTATTCCTAGGTATTTTATTCTTTTTGATGCAATTGTGAATGGGATTGTTTTCCTGATTTCTCTTTCTGCTAGTTCACCATTAGTGTATAGGAATGCAACCAATTTCTGTGTATTAATTTTGTGCCCTGCAGCTTTACTGAATTCAAATATTAGTTCTAGTAGTTTTGGAGTGGATTCTTTAGGGTGTTTTTATGTACAATATCATGTCATCTGCAAACAGTGACAATTTGGAGGCCTTTTATTTCTTTGTTTTGTCTGATTGCTGAGGCTAGGTCCTCCAGTACTGTGTTGAATAAAAGCGGGGAGGGTGGGCATCCTTGTCTTGTTCCCGATCTTAAAGGAAAAGCTTTCAGCTTCTCGCTGTTAAGTATAATGTTGGATGTGGGTTTGTCATACATGGCCTTTATTATGTTGAGGTACTTGCCCTCTATACCCATTTTGTTGAGAATTTTTATCATGAATGGATGTTGAATTTTGTTGATTGCTTTTTCATCTATGGAGATGATCATGTGGTTTTTGTCCTTCTGTTTGTTGATGTGGTGGATGATGTTTGATGGATTTTTGAATATTGTACCATCCTTGCATCCCTGAGATGAATCCCACTTGATCATGATGTATGATCCTCTTGATATACTTTTGAATTTGGTTTGCTAATATTTTGTTGAGTATTTTTCATCTATGTTCATCAGGGATATTGGTCTGTAATTCTCTTTTTTTGTGGGGTCTTTGCCTGGTTTTGGTATTAGGGTGATGCTGGCTTCATAGAATGAGTTTGGAGGTATTCCCTCCTCTTCTGTATTTCTTGGAAAACTTGAAGGAGAATGGGTATTACGTCTTCTCTAAATGTCTGATAAAATTCAGCAGTGAATCCATCTGGACCGGCAGTATTGTTCTTGTGTAGTTTTTTGATTACCAATTCAATTTTGTTGCTGGTAATTGGTCTGTTTAGATTTTCTTTCTTCCTTGATCAGTCTTGGAAGGTTGTACTTTTCTGGGAAGTTGTCCATTTCTTCTAGGTTTTCCATCTTGTTAGCATTTTCATGGTATTGTGTAATAATTCTTTGTGTTTCTGTGGGGTCCATCATGATTTTTCCTTTCTCATTTCTGATTCTGTTTTTGTGTGTAGATTCTCTTTTTCTCTTAATTAGTCTGACTAGGGGTTTATCTATTTTGTTTATTTTCTCAATGAACCAGTTCTTGGTTCATTAATTTTTTTCTATTGTTTTATTCTTCTCAATTTTATTTATTTCTTCTCTGATCTGTCTTGTGTCCCTCCTTCTGCTGACTTTGGACCTCATTTGTTCTTCTTTTTCCAGTTTCAATAATTATGACTTTAGAGTATTCATTTGGGATTGTTCTTTCTTCTTTAAATAGGCCTGGATTGCTATATACTTTCCTCTTACAACTGCCTTTGCTGCATCCCA